TCAACTGGGGTAAGGAGTCCAGTTCTGGCGATGCAGTTATTCTTCCCCAGTGGCGGCAACGGTTGGCTGGTTGCCTCTCTTCCTTCTCTTTCTTCACTTCTTCACTTCCTCCTCCTCCTCTTTATATTAAACATGCTTGTGCTGTTGTGCACTGATAGGAAAAGAAAACGTTATATTAAAAAGTGTGACGGAATGCGTCAAAGGAATTTTTAAAAATTATTTTAATTTCAGCATTTGCCTTTTAAAGCAATGGTGGGAGGAACCACCCATAGCTGCTTTGAGCACCATTTGGCAGAAAGCTGGGACACAGATTTAGCAAATAAATAAATAAAATAAAAGAGTAGCCTGGCACTCACGGAAGGCAGTGCAACCAGGAAATGTTGGTACATCTCCACCCACAATAGCTCCTCTTAGCTGCTGTAATAAAGCTTTGCCACTTCCTGATGGATAGGAAATGTACTGCATTTTTTTAAAAAGTGCTATGAACCAAAGAAGGATAGACGAACAACAGGAGAAGTATTGGATTGCAACAGTTTGGCAGTGATGTTGTTTCAATTCTTTGTAATATCAATGAATGAATGATGCAAATTTGAAAGAAAAGGGGCTGGTGTGAAAGCAAGCTGTTATTTGCCTCCACTAAGTTTATCACTTGGACAGCACCATATATGTTCAGTATGGAATAAAATAAATTATGCACCCCGACAATTCAGATTGTGTGCCAAGAAATACTGAATTCTACAACCTAAATAATTTATGGTTAGGCTTGTCCACCTTTGGGCATTTTTAGCTGTTTATCCACTTTCCCTCCATTCAGTTTAGACCAGAATAGACCACAACTGCATGTATTTGAATTTGTATAGGAGGAACAGCTTCAGTCCTTCTTGCTCATACCCATAGGCATTCCTTTTAGTATTTCCCTGCCCACAAATTGTGCAAAAGCACACAGCCAGGCACTTGTAGATTTGCTTGTGAAGCATTTGGTTTTTGTGCAAATCTGATATATGGCTATGCTCCTTTCACGCCTTTCTGTTGAAAAAAAGAAATGAAAGCAATTGTACATTCTCAGCACCGACTTTTCAGATTGCTGCCCAGGATATCTGGTACAGAATTTTTTTAATGTGGTTTGCTTGTGCAGTTTTCTGTTTTTCTGCAAATCTGAGGGATTGAGGAAAAAAAAAAAGAACATCTATTTAGGAGCATACCAGTTATGAAGTGAAAGCATTGAAGAAGTAGTGGACATGAAAAGGGGAGCAGCAGAAAGTGACAATTGATTCACCCATCCCAAAGCACCAAAACAAATAACCTGCAACCCCAAATGGAGCAGTTTGAACAAATCTGATTTCCCGCAATTTACCCATATTGGGTAAACCTGAAATTACTGGGGCATTTACATGGGAATGCAAAGAGCTGCACACAGATGGTGAACTCCAGTGTGAACAAACCCCAAGTAGTACAAGTGTGCATTACTTCTCTTTATTTTGCATAATTTTCAGGCTCTCCCCTTTTTTTTGCAGAATTTGATTTTGTTAATCATGAGGAGGAAGAAGCAATTATTGAAGGTTCTGATGTTTCATGCCCACCCCCTAGAAATCTCATTCAGCCACCATTCCAGTAGGCATTGGCCACACATTTCTAAGAGCAGTAATGTAAAATGAAATCTGGGATTTCTTTAAAGCACTCTGAAGCCTGCACTCAGTATCACATTCTGTGCCTTTTCTGTTTGTCCTTGTGACATGGGAGCATACACAGAGCATTTCTATGTAGGGGCTAATGCACCTCCATGCATGGTACTAAGCTGGCCTTGCAAGTTGGGTTGGGAGCTTTCTTTCAAGAGCTCTACCAATGTGCTGGGTTAGGGAGGCAGAGAGAACATGTGCTTGTGGAATTAAGGCATTCCCATGACATCCCATGTATGCATTTATTGTTCAGGAGTCCACCATGCTCCCCGTCCCACATGGAATGTTTTATAGAAGGTACTTTGAAATGCACACAGCCTCCTTGCAGTGCTTTCTGTAACTACTCTGTGCTCACACAACTTCAAAACCTTAGAGAGGAGCAAAAGCAATGCATCTGGCTTTGCTCTATCTCGGGCTTTTCTTTTTTAACATAAAATATTTTTTAAAGCCTCAAGGCAGTTTAAGCATGAAAAAAATAATCCCCCTCAGGCCCCCCCACCTTCACTTCATCATCAAGCTTGTGAGGATTTTGATCACACAGAGCCTAGGGCTTGCCAATCAGAAGGTCGGTGCCATGGGATGAGCTCCCATTGCTCGGTCCCTGCTCCTGCCCACCTAGCAGTTTGAAAGCACGTCAAAGTGCAAGTAGATAAATAAGTACCGCTCTGGCGGGAAGGTAAATGGCGTTTCCATGCGCTGCTCTGGTTTGCCAGAAGTGGCTTAGTCATGCTGGCCACATGACCCGGAAAAACTGTCTGCAGACAAACACCGGCTCCCTCGGCCTGTAAAGCGAGATGAGCAACCCCAGAGTCGTCCGTGACTGGACCTAACGGTCAGGGTCCCTTTACCTTTATCATCTAGGTGAACAGTTTGTTATTACATTCTCCTAGCCTTTTGGCTAAGATGAGCTGATGTTTTGTAGGGCTGGACTGGGGGGTGATGATGGCTCTCAATATACTTTTGAACTCCTGTTTCCATCGAGCCCATGCGGAAGGGATGCAACTCAGTGATAGACTGTTTGCCTAACATGCAGAAGGTCCCAGGTTCATTTCCCCACATCTTTAGGTGGGATACTTCTGCCTGAAATCCTGGAAAGCTGCTGCCAGTCAGAGCAGACGCTACTGAACTCAATGGACCCAATGGGCCGAATCAGTATAAGACAGCGGTCTGTATCCAGGGGTTTGGGATAATGGGTGCTGAGGTCCAGCAACATCTGGAGGGCACCAGGTTGCCCACACCTTTTGTAGGAGATAGAAAGCTGGACTTGGACCAGAGATGGTAGTGGTTTGAATCCTTACCTGGTTTACCTGGCTGCAAAGCCTGCCCATGTCTGCACAGCTAAGCAGTGGTGGCAGATTTCTAATTAAAATGTGTTCAGCTTCAACTCTCAACCACAGCTCTTATTAGAAGGGATAGGAGGCATAATAAAGTACTCACCTTTCTGCTCATTTTATGATATGAGTTGATTGGGAAGAGCTTGTTATCATGATGCCAACTAGAGCAGTCTTTGGAACAAGGGGCTTCTTCACACTTGTATTCAATGTGGATAGTAAGCTTTCCGTAGCTCCATTAAGCGTCCATTGTCCATTTTATGTTCTCCTCCAAATCACTGCCTTCCCACACTTTCCCCTCTGTCATTCTAGATTTTCTTACACCAGGGACATTCTGAAAAGGTGAAGGTATGAGGAAATCTGGATGGTGGGAGGGGGAAGTGTTGGAAGCAGTGATTTTGAGGGAGAATGTCATATGGACAGCAGAGAATGAATGGAGGCACAGGAATCCATATTAAGTAACAGCATGAATGAGCTCATAGTCTTCCTCCTTCACTTGTTGCTGGTCTTACCTGAGTGGAGACTGCTGGGGTTGGCTGCAGAGGGCAGTGAGCTCCACATTAGATGCGGATGCCAAAGAAGCCACAGTTCAAAAGTAGAGTGGGATGAGAGGCCCTTTGCTGAATCATGGTACAGTGGTACCTCGGGTTAAGTACTTAATTCGTTCTGGAGGTCCGTTCTTAACATGAAACTGTTCTTAACCTGAAGCACCATTTTAGCTAATGGGGCCTCCTGCTGCCGCTGCGCCGCCAGAGCACGATTTCTGTTCTCATCCTGAAGCAAAGTTCTTAACCTGAAGCACTATTTCTGGGTTAGCAGAGTCTGTAACCTGAAGCGTATGTAACCTGAAGCATATGTAACCTGAGGTACCACTGTACTTTCAAATGTAACATTTTAAAACATAGTTCCTTGTGAATTGGCTTGTCTTATTGGTTAGTTGAGCAGACTAGGACTTTAGTGGTTGGCCTGAGGCAATCCTACTTCCACGTCCTCAGTTCTTCTTCTGCAAAATGGGCACAAAATGGGCTCTTAGGAGGAAATGGATTGTAAGGACTTTCCCCAGCCTGAACAGCCAATATAATAAAATAATGACTTTGCTGCCTTGCTGTCCAGTGAGCTTTTGCAACAAGCATTTGAACAAAGCAAAGCAAGGTGAGATGAGAAAATTAGGCCAAGAACGCTCATCCTTTTGTTTCCTAAGCTGGTTTTTTTGGGACAGTGGGAGGAGGGAGGAACAATCCCCCCCTTCTTTTCTTTTCCTGGTCCTGTTCCAAATCCATACAACCGTAAAGTGATGCTGCCTCCTAAGGAGGGGAGCATAGCCTGTACATTTTCAACATTCTTGCTGGAGTTAACGACTTAGAAACATGACTCCCCAAAAGAGGGAGGGCTCGGCCCATTTGTGTGTGGTGTGTGTGTGTGTGTGTGTGTGTGTGTGAAGTTTAGTCACGAAAGGAGGGGTGGAAATAGGAAAAAAATGCACAGCCTCAGGGCAGCCTCTGACAGCGCAGTGGGCTGGCAGGCAGCTCCCAAACAATGTGCTTAGTATTATCCCCAGGACTGGAGCTGTCGGAGCAGGCTGGCGCGTACCTGTGCAGCCTGGGCTATCTTTGGCTAGGTGCCAGCGTGCGGAGAGGGTTACTTCCCCCCTCCCTCTGCCTTCCCTCCCTCCTGCGTGTGGTGTGTAGCCTTTCTCCCCCTTCTCGCAGGAGTTGTTCAGAAAGCCTGGAAGCGGCTCCTTTTGTAGCACAGTCTAGGGTTGGGTGGAGTTTTTTTTTTGTGATTTCCCCTCCCTCTTTTTTTTTTTTTTTTTTTGAGGGGGGGATTTGCTCATCTGTTCTTTCTTGCCTTGCTTCCGTTTTTTTCCCTGGGTGAGGCCCCTTTTCTTCCCCAGTTTCTTGAATGTTTCGGTTTGAAACGTAAGATTTCTTGTTTTTCATTTCTCTCTTCTTCCACCCCTCCCCTCCCCGCTCCTTTTCTGTTTCCCGTACAGGTTGCAAGCTCTCCTGTCACAAGAAATGTGAAGCCAAGGTAAGAGAGAGCCTTGTTCCTACTCTCATTGTCTTACAACAACATTGCGGTTTGTGCTACCTTTTCCTTCTGTCTGATGTGAATCTTCTTTGAAAAGTCATTTGGATGAGGAACAGGGAACTTCTGTTGCTCTCCTTTCCCCTCTCCTTCTTTCTCTTTCTCTTTCTCTCGTCCTCCTGCTTCTGTACTTTGTTTATCTTTTTTGTAAAAGAAAATGCTGTGATTGTTCCTCAAGGTGAAATTTGCCAGGTTCCCACCAGGTCTGGAAGTTCTTATTGCAAACTCTCGGGGAGCACCTCTGCCCCGAATTGCTTGCAAGGAGAGGAGGGTACCTACCTTGATCTGCAATGTTTAATGTTTCTTTTTGCAATAAGTCTTTTGAAAAAATTCTTCCCGGGCCAGCGTTATGGCGGTCTGCCTCATTTTTTCCCCTTTCTTTCTTCCCCTCCTTCTTTTTTTCTTTCCCCAGAGGAGGCTGCTATATTAGCAGGAAAGGTTTGCTAAAGCTCTCAAGGTGAACGATCTTTCCTCATCCACGGGCAAGGCTATAAAATAAATGCAACCACCTGAGTATTATTCTGTCCTTGCTAACTCACTTTAGGAGGTCGTATGCCCTTTGAAGCAGTCAAGGATGCCTGGGGCAGTTGAGTTGAGCTACAAAAGAATCTCTCTCTTTTCATGCTCTGTGCTTTAATAAGATCCATTCAGTTTGGCTCTTGATGTTAAGAAATGCTTTATCGTTCTTATTGTGGTGCTGCGCCTCATGCCATCCTTGCTGTATTATTCCCATTTAACAGAGTGGGCTTACAGGCCACCGGATAATGACTTGCTCAGGGCTGCCTAGTGAATCTGGGTCTAAAGTGGGGCTTAGATTGGAAAATCAGCCCACCCCTCTGTCTCTGTTGGATTCCATTGGTTCTTAGAAGCCAGGCAGACCTAGGCTCAGTGGTCCACAGATAATATCAGTGACCTCCACAAAGTAAAGAGAAACTGAAGTTCTCATTCTGCTCTTCACAGGGGGGCAACAGTCTAAGCTTAAGGCAAGATGGTGGTGACAGAATGGGGCAGTAATGCGCCACCAGATAAGAAATGCTGCTGGCACAGACATAACTTCTTCTCCCTTAAGTCGTCCATGAGCCCAGCCTACCATTGGCAACCACTTTCATTTGGGCTGGGTGCTTGCTTATTTTGTTCAGACAGATCTGAACAGGGCAGATCTTTGTTGAAGGTAGATGGACTTAGCACTGCATTTCCTTCTTCATTACCCCATTGCCACCATCCTTTGCTCGCTTCAGTGGAACTTGTGCCAGTGGTGATGCATGAAGTTCCAGGTAGCACACCCCTACTAGGGATTTTTGCATGGTTGATTAGGAGGTAGTGGCAGCCATGGTTCTTCCACATGTTCCTCTGATGGACTGTACTCTTCCTGGCACATTCATTGCTGTGCAATGGCCTGTTTGCCACATTGTCCTAACAACATTCTGGACTGTTTGGACCTGACCATTTGTGTGGAGAGGGCACAAATATGCTAGTCAACTCCTCCAGCTGGCATGCCATATCCATATGTCCAAATTATGGACCACACTCAGTGCAAATTCGCATAGCTAGTTCTTGGATTTTATCTGGGAATTGGACTGTATCCCCCCTTTTTTTTGCCTATGCACACAGGCCAAAATTCATGTGCCAGCCTGGCATGGACATTCAGGGACAGGGAAGGAGGGGATGATGTGCTGCTGCATGCAATGTACCAGTTTATAATAGTGTGGCCTCAGTCTTATTTCTAGGTTCTGCCATTCAGATATGCTTCAGTATCTGTCTTAGCCTTTACACCTGGAGGTATTTAAGCAGAGGCTGGCCAGTCTTCTGCTTAGGATGCTGCAGTTGCATTCTGCATTGCATAACTTGCATTCAGCAGAGTGCTGGGCTAAATGATCAGGGTACCAGCCCTGCAATTCAACGATTCTTTGATCTACCATGGTCAGGGCAAAGGCTCTGACCTTCACCATTCACCATTCTTCATCTTCTTTTTAATAAATGTTCCTCCTGTTCTGTTCTGAAAGAATTGCCTCCTTGCCATGGCCTTTTGATTTTTTTCTGTTTTCTTTAGACTGTAATGCAGGCTTCCTCAAACTTGGCTCTCCAGATGTTTTGAGACTACAGTTCCCATCATCCCTGACCACTGGTCCTGCTAGCTAGGGATCATGGGAGTTGTAGGCCAAAAACATCTGGGGGGCCGAGTTTGAGGAAGCCTGCTCTAATAAGTCTGTTGGGCTGTACACATCTGATGTACAGGAACAGTAACACGTATATCGGCACTAATTCAGGCTTGCAAAGGGGAGGACCCTTGAGGGATTATTCCTGTTGTTGAATGGGATGCCTTGGGAAGGATGGTCTGGGTCTTTATTCCTCTCCTACTTTGTAAGCTATATAAGTAGGTGGAGATGGAATTATGGAGAAAGATAAAGACTTGCTGAGTCTTTCTCTCAAAGTGTTTCAAGGTGGGAATGAGAACAGATTCCAAATGAGAAGCATGAAATAAAAAGTACAATCATATTCTCCAAAGAAGCCAGTGGTGTGTTAAACCAGGATGGAGTATGGCCACAATGAACCAAACTGCTGGTCTGGAGATGACATTAGTGAAAGTGGAGATAAGGATCCAGTGGCAGGATCCAGCCAATCAGGGGTCACAAACTTAGCCCAGGGAGAAAGAAGCAAGGTTCAGTAAAGGGCAGGCACATTGATGAAGGGGGTGGAGCAGCTCCCCTGTGAGGAAAGGTTGATATTTTTTAAAATAGTTTTGTTTGACTCCCACAAGAAGTAGTGATAGCCACCAACTTGGGTGGCTTTCAAAGATGATTATAGAAATTAATGGAGGATAAAGCTAGCAGTGTCTACTTGTCATCCTCTACTTCCATTGTTGGAGGCAGTATGCTTCTCAATATCAGTTTCTGGGAATCAAAGGTGGTAAGAGTGCCATTGTGCTCAGGTTCTTGTGGGTTTCTCATAGGCTTCTGATGGGTCGCTGTATTGAACTAGGTGGGCCATTGACTTGCCCCTAAGAGGCTTTATAATGTGGTGAGTGTTGCATGACCCAGTTATGCAAAATGCTCCTCATCTCAGTTTTGATGTGGCATAGTTCAGTTTTAATAGTTTATTACAACATAACCAGAGTCAAACAAATCATATGTGGCCATCATGTAAATATTCATAGGGCTACAAGTCCCGTTTTGAGTATTAGTTTAAGGACATCAAAACCAGAATTTGAACTGTGATGCAGAAATGCCTGTTTTATTTCATCAGTAAATCAACTGCTAACTTAGATTTCATGCCAGAGACATTGGGTTTTAGATTGAATTGCAGTTGTATTTTTACCAATTCCAATTGGCTCATAAAAGTCTCACACATCTTGCATTCTCCCCAGACTCCGTTCATATGACCCAATTTCCCTGACAATACCTTATCCCTTCTCAGTGCTGATGGTCACCCAATCACCCCAGAACCTTCCAAGGCAAAGTCATTGGCTCAGGCAACTTTTAGTCAAGAGGGCATTCTCAGCAGAGGTAATGCACTGAATCGCTGACCCTTTTCTCTCTGATGAAATTGCAAGTCAGTAATACATAGCAAAGTGATAGTCATATGCAGTGCCTTTATTGAGGTTGGTGGTGGTAAAAAATGATGTTCTGGTGCTCATATCTTGACAAAAGTGCAATGAGTGCCAGTGCAAAATGGATGCCATAGGCAGCAAAAAAGAAAAAGGAAAAAAAAAGCTGATGATTACTCCATATCATTGAGTACCATCACAAACAAAGCACTGGTCCTATGGGGAATGAGTCCATGTATGTGAAAAATCCATTTATGATTGTACAATCTCATTAGAATTGTAAAGTTCCTGTGTTTTTTATTATATACACTCACACAAAGATTAACTCAAAGGTGTAATGCACTATTTCAGTCATTTGAAATAACAGCACAAATAGAATGAACAACAAATCATCTTGAAAAACTTGTTATTTTAAGTTTTGTCGTAACAAAACAGGCAAAACACCACATCATAGCAAAGTGATTAATATTGTATTTTTGTGCTCAGAAACTCATATTAGGCCCTCCATGTTGATGCCCAGGGCAGTCTCTGATGTTTTTGAATTGGTTAGCTGTGTTGTATATTTTTTTAAAGTGACAGAACTACAGGCAGCAAACAGGACAGAATGCCGCTGTGTGCGGAGGTAAGGCCCGGGGTCAGGTGATATATGACTTGGCATACAGCACATATTAGGTACATATATGTCTGTGAGCAAATATTGTTGTCATAAAGACAAGCAACATCTAGGTTTGGTGCTTTAGACTGGAGAAACGTCACACAGTGTTTTACAAGAAGATCGTTTTTTTCAAAAACGATTTATCAGATGAGTGGAAAGAAATATGAAAGCATTTAACGAGTACAGCTCTGTTAGGTACGACATCGAGCCAGCTCCCAAAGGCATCACGATAGCCGTATAAATAGATAAAACAGTTGTATTCCACGTGCAAGAGTTAGGGAAGATGACAAAGCTCTGCTGCTCCAGGGTAGCCCTTGCATCTTCACCTGGAGTGGGGAGACTTGCTGAAACTAGCCAAGGATATATGGCGGATTGGTGAGCAGTTCTTTGAGTGTGTGCAGCATGAAGTTCAGCATGCACACTAAACTGTCCCGCAAGAATGGCCAGCCCCTGTTGCTTGAAGTGTAGGCAGCCCTGTGCTTATGAAGAAAGGTGGGCACAGAGTTGTTCCTTCTGTTGAAGTGAATGCTGTGTCTGTTGGTGCAGGTGCTCTGTGAACTAGAGCTCTAGATTGGAGGCAGGAGTCACACTGTGTGGCTCTTTGCATGTAAAGGATATTGCCCTCTGTATCTGAAACCACGTCACATACTGGATTGTGCTCAACTGCCAGAGGTCTTTTTACTGCTAAAAGCAGTGCCTTGTTGTTGGTTCATATATATATATATATATATATATATATATATA